CGGTTCTTTCGAAACCTCTTGATTATTACTGATTATATATATTTTGATATCGGGTAATTCGGTTCGGTAATTCGAGCTACGTTAAAGTCACTTATACTTATTTTGCTATCTATATGTAATTTGACAAACAATTGAAACATCAAATTTGTCAGAATTACATTATCAGGGCACCTTAACATTTCTGCTTCAATTCCATCCCTCCAACCCCTCATTGGGCGCCCTTAAAGGTGCATTGAAGCAGAAATGTTAAGGTTTTTAAAGCCCGCAGGGTTGTGGTTCGACGCTCCGCCTCTTAACCTATGTCATCTGTGACGTCCCGATAAACAAAAATTTCAACAATCAGGCTGTAGGTCGAAATCTGAGGTAGAACCGCGAAAAACATGGATGTTTAGCTATTTCGGGCTAAAAAGTTGGAAAAGTTCGATTTCGAAGTTGGGCCCAAAGGCGACAGTTGATTATATGCGAGTATGTTACGTGTCTAGGTGTTCTTGACACCGTATTCGAAGCTCATCACCCGTCGCCTTTGGGTCCAGGTAGATCTTAGGTAGAACCACGAAAAACGCGAAATTTCAGCTATTTTCGGCTCCGGAGCCATGTTTAGGTCCCTGTTTTGCGGCCAAAAAACGTGAGTATATCGGCAAAACTCGATTATTTCTGTCAAATATGCACCGTCAACTGCCAAATATCCAAATATTTCTCAATTCCGTGGAGGGGCCGATTTCGGCCCAAATCGCAACCCCTCTTTATCGGATGCATGAGCCAAAGAACTTCAGGGATCCTTATGACTAGAACTCTGGATCACTCAAACGAAGGTTTTTGCACTTTGTTTAAACTGTTGATCCGTTGATATTCTGTGCACCTCATGTTCTGTTCTTGCATATTTGGTCACAAGCTATGTCTATTGTATGGAACGAAAGGGAATCAACGATGTCACGATTTTCAACTGCTCATTTTCTTATTATTCTCGATTGATTTTTTGATTGGTGTGGTCATGCTTAGTCGTTTCATGTGGCACGGAACGTCGAACACTTATAGAGAATCAGTCGTCACATGTGGACTCTTCAACGTAATATGCATCTATAAATAGTTCGGCATTTTTACACGTTTAAAATAGCAATCCTTCCGTATTAAACGCCATAAAGATGTTTATTTACTGGATGTGGGTGTAGCGAATTATTCGAGTCCCCTCTATACTTTATTACTTACTACTTACACTATACTTTAATCGGTGTGAGTTGAATAACTACTTAATTTGCATGTGATCTTATAGTGGGAGGGACTATTTTCCCCCGTGAGAAGAGAGAGGGTAAAAATTCTTATTTTTTGACATCCAGCGCACAAAAAAATACGCACGGCACGATTCATTCCCTCAGTATCGGCGCAATTCTATTTTTTTTTAATTGGGCTTGCTGTACTTAGCTTTTTTTTTTTGTCAAAACGTTGCTATAATCCAAAATTTCAATTCAGCCCTCAAAATCTCTCGCTCCTCATCTTTACAAGGATTGATACAAAGGATGAAATGTAACTGAAGTAACACTGTATACTGCAATTCACATTTTAATTACCTTCGAATAATTTTAATGTTTTCCTACTAATAGGAAAAAGTTCCTTGATTTGACGTTTACCATCGATTGCGCCACTTAATTTAGCAATTGCCTACTTGGAATTTCAACCACTATAGATGAAGCGGTACCCTAGTAAAAATTGGCAATAAGAGCTGCGTTTCAAAATACCATAGGAATTCTTATAGCCGGCTAAAGAAGGCTACAGAAAATCATATAGCTGGCTGTAGAATGCAGAGAAAATCATACGGCCGGGCTACACGAAGCGATAAAAAATTATGCAGCCGGGCTATAGTTCCTATCGCCACTTTACACTTTGTCGCCTGGCTGTTGCCTTTTCACCATCGATTATAAAAGGCTATAAGAAATTGTGTAGGAATTCGTGTGCTTAGTAAATCCTTAAGTTTGTACGGAATCACCTTAATATTTACAAAACGCACATTAGATTTTCCTTTACTACATATTTTTTTTCATCCATTAAAATGAGAATAATCCATACAGATAGTGCAAACATTTCAAAGTCATGAGTTGAGAAACGCTGACTCCACGAGATTAAATATTCGAGCCTAACACAAAGCGGAGCGGCGGCGCACTGGCGCCTACAAACCTAACAGGGATACTTCACGCATCGCGCAACGCGAGAAGTATCCCTGTTAGGTTTGTAGGCGCTAATGCGTGTTTCGCGCTGGCTGCCCGCCTGCCACGGCGCTTGAAGCAAATATTTCACACCAGAGGTATTGCACAGTATCATACGAAACTGAAGGCGCTCTAATATATTAGGAATAGCAGGCATCCATCAAAAGTACGGAGCTTTCCTCGCAAAATAAATCAAGATACTACAGCCAAAAAAGAGATCAGTATTCCAAAAACTCACTAACAATAAATCCTAGCATCCGTAATTAGTAACGTTTAGCATACACTTTATCGCCTGGCTGTTGCTTAGTCACCATCGGCTATAAAAGGCTATAAGGAATTGTGTAGCCGGCTATAAAAGCTATTGGAAATCTTACAGCCGGCTGTAGGTCTATGGTATTTTGGAACACAGATTCTACTGCCAATTTTTACCAGGGTAGAGGTTGTTTTTAGCTAGAGTGCTTTTTAACTTTACTGAAGGTAAATTCATCGTATGATCGTAATCTTTGATGACTTACCCACAGGATTCAAAAGAAAATTGCAAACGGCATGGCGTAACCAGTGATTACTTGCTTAACCGACTGCGTCAAATAGCGAGGCAGTCTACAAAGTGAAAATTACTGATGTAAATCAGCTGCAACAATCACACTTGTGGCTATCGAATGTTTCTGTTTTTCTCCTCATATCTGTCACAGAGACAAACACAGAAATGTTTATTTTGTTTCCGAACTCATGCGTCTGATATGAATGACTCACCACTAAACGGCTATTAAGTACGTAAGGTATTTTTTGGGAAGAGAGCTCAGATGATTATTTCACTTATAAGCTACTTGATATAACGCCATAATGGAATTCAATCAAAAGCGCATGCAGACCTCTTTCTTACCACGCGCAAGATTTAGAATCATGGTTTTATCTTGGCGTGTTACAGATTAGCAATTTTAAAATAATAAAACCCGCTCAAATATCAAATTTTTTCATCAAATATCAGTGAAATCACCATCCTTCTTTTGCAAAATCTTTGAGGACATTTTCCTCCCACGTTGGGGAATACCGAAGTTTTTTGTACTCACATTGATCTTATCACTCAAAGGAAGTACTTGTAGTACATGTTCCATTCATTATTAATTGACAGGACTTTTAGACACGTATCTCGATTCAAGTGTTTCAAAATTTTTGCTGGTTTTTCAAATTTTTCTCGGGCAAATTCAGTAAACGTTATCGTTTGGAGTTTGTACAGAATATTCTGCTCATGCTGAAAAGGAAACTAAAGAAAGATGCAAGAAACAAGTGCCTCTGATTTTTCTTCGAGAAAATTACAAAAAATCTGAATCGTCGCAGAAGATACGTATCTCGAGACTCATTGGAAAAAGAGAGAATTGATTTAAGCAGAAATATTCTTAAAAAATTCAAACATGGATCTATATTCATTTCAAGCTATTTCATTTTTTATTCAGGAAGAAATTTTCTTGACAGACGTTTAGGAACTATGTCGCTGACGTCGAGTCACTTTTTTCAGTGCTATCACTATAGCCATGTTTCCACTGGTCTTAAAAACTCACACTAGGGCAGGTATAACTACACAAGCACTTACGATTTATAAAAACTTTTCCTGTTATTTACGCATTTTACTGTTATCAATGGACACTTTTCGAGTCGCCCCGGCTTAAAATCTCATCAGTGACAACCGCCAGGAAATGTGCTCGCTGATAACAGTAAGTAGCGCGTGGGCGAGAGAAAATACATTTGAACATCCCAAGTACGTAAAATTACCCGTACACTCTTTTGCAAAATTGTTTGGTTATAACTACATTTTGTTGGTGCGTAAAAATTCAATCATAAAAACACAATAACAACAGAAATACGCGTGTAGGACCCAATGAAAGGGACATAGGGACGCCCTAAGCTATCATCAACCTCATTCAGTGTAAGTATGGATCGAGCGTACGAGTATTATAGGATCACCAGAAATTGACCAAACATGTCAAAAAAAAGAATCGTTGAAATGTGCCGTATGTGGTAACAATTATTTCGGCCAAAGCTGAATTGTTACTAAGACCAAGCCAAGTTAACGAAAAGGTCGCATTGTAACTAAGACAAGACAAGTAGGTGGAAATTGAAATCCACTATACACATGATCATTGGAGGGCCACGATTAGTTTTTATCCTCGAGGACCTTGCAAATGTATAAGTATGTTGAAACTTAGCGTTTCTCTGGAACAAATATCCCAACTAAATTTCCGCTCAAGTTGGCTCATGAGTTTTCCGGCCAGCACAATTAGGAAAAGAACTGATAAAAAAATGTATGTGACACCATACCGTCGAGCCGCACATGGTTATACGGGTCACAGCCGCGTCTAAGTGATAACAACGGTGAACCTGCGTAACCAGTTCGATACATTCCAATAGGCTTGCATAGGATGTATCGCTGTCCGAGTCTCAGTACGCTTTTCGATATTTTTCAACGGCTTTCTACGATGAAAATCGATTTTCGGTGAGCTCTGCCCCGGAAACCTGAGACCCGGCTGCGAAAAACGACCGATCGACCTTGAACGCAGAGCGGCTAGCGTCGTCTTGCGTAAACAATCTGACGTATGTCCATGATTTGAAGACCACAACAGATCGTGTCGGACGAAAAAGAGCGTTTGCACAAAGTTTTTCATTGGAGTTAGGCTGTTTTTACATAGCAGGGCAGAAATTTTTCACGTCTGCACATGGTCTAAATTTGAGTCTCGAAAGCCGAAAATCAGAGACTCTGAAATTAGTTAAAATGCTGATTCAGCGCAGTAGGCACTTTCGTAGAATCAAAGATTTTAAGGAGAGCTACTGGATATGGTGTTTCTCATCTTTGCGCGCTTCGTGCACGTGGGACAGATTTCCTGGAGAAGAAATCTAAAACTCTTCTAGCGCCATCAGATGTGGAAAAATAAGGTATAAATTTTCCTGTGATTAATGAAAACCATGAGCTCAAGCGATCGCAATTGGTGGGATCTCTTACTTGACGTTGAAAAGTCTAATATGTGTTTTGATTAAAACTCTTTAAATATTTTTCTCAGATTCTGTAAACAGTGGAGCGAAGGATATAAAATATTGGTATTTTTTTACGGTTCTTAGCATTTTCTACTTCTTTTTATTCTTATTTTCATCAATGTGTGCTGTGATTGTGAGAAGGTTTTCATGATGGAAACTCAGAAAATGGTCGCAAAATGTTTTATGGGAGGGGGACTATTTAATTTGGTTATTTGAATTTCATTTCACCCATGTCCTTATTCGGACGTCAAATTGGATTTCTACTTATTTTATTACTCTTGTTATGTTTTAAAAAAAACCTTTGTCTAAATGCAATGGAATAAAACCCAGTCCCATTTAGTTACAACAGAGAAATACGATTAAAGGTCCCCTCTCCTTTTAGATATACTTTTTGGCCTATTCTTTTTTATCCGACTCGATGTTAGATATTACAAATTATTGCAAGTTTTAATTTTTTGACAGCAAAAAAAAAAAAAAAAAAAAAAAAAAAAAAAAAAAAAAAAAGGAAGATACTGATATAAACTCAAAATTACCTCAAACATTCTTTTTTTGTGTTGGAAGTGCACGAAAAAGCGACCCTAGAGCTGGGCTCTATAGTGGCAGGGTCAGAAATTTTTCGTGGGGAGGGGAAGGATCTACGGCCAACAATTTCTCATCGGCGAGAGGGAGCACAGGGTAAAACATTTATGAGGACGCAGAAAATTCACTTTCTCTAAAGCAAAATTTTCAAGTTATAAGGAGGGGGGGGGGCAGAACCGTGTGGACGCCCTCTTCCTCGGGCACACCGCCAGGATTCTATACCAGCCTTAGAGTTGCAGAACTAGACGTTAATCCGGGCACAGTCGATACCTACCCCAAATTAAGATGTAGCCATTTTACCTCCCTCTCTAGGCACGAGCAGAAAACCATTTTGCCCGTCTGTGACTTGGTTCATATCCTCTAAAATTACAACAATTCGTCATTTGCCATACGTAGCTCCATTCCAACGTTCCAAAATTAACCCAAACTGCATAATTTTCGTTTAAAATTTGTCTGATTTTCGAATGGGATCAAGAAAAAAATGAGTGCCATTTTCAGTAGGACATTTCCAAAATTCACCTGGTAAAAATGCAATTTCTGCGGGAAAATTTGGCAACATTGAAATGGAGTGACGTTCTTTCGTGAGAGAAGCGACGAATTGTGGAGTCCTCAAACCATTGTTTCGTCCCAAGAAAAACTATATTACCTCCAACGAAATAAAAGAGGTTTGAGGAACAACAACCAACAGTTCTGCCATGCTGAGGAAGAACACCGTATGAGCTTTCAGAGGTCGCCAAGTTTCCTTCGATAAAAACTGAATTTATTGGGAAAATTGTAAATTTTTCCCCCAAAATTTTTAGACAATTTCATGCGCAATTTAATCTAAAATATTTGAAAATTTCGAAGCACACTGGAAAAAAAAAACACATTGGATTTAGAGTCCAGACTCTTGATTCAATCAGAATCTAGCTTAAATTAAGAACCAAGCCTCTTAATTTAAGCAGATTTCGTTTTGATTCAAGCAAAAATCCGATTGAATCAAGAGTATTTTTTCTTGTCAATGTTTTCAAGAGTCTGGACTCTAGATCCAATGTATTTTTTCTCCAGTGCAAAATGTGCATAAATGTCATCAAAAATACATGTTTTATCGAGGGAAATTTGACAACTCTCGAATGCTCATACGGTGTTCTTCCTTAGCACGACAGAGTTCCCGGCGTCCCGGAAAAGACGTTCGCTAAGCGGGGGTGGGGAGGGGCGTGGAGGGACGAGTGGTCGGCCCGGCTGAATTATTGATGGTATTTGCCCGCACTTCACCTTTCGGTTTTATCACAGCACGCCGCGGAACCAGTGCAGTGCAAGCCCACGCTCCGCTCGGCCGCCGCGCCCCACTCCAAATTCGCCTATCGCGACTCGGAAAAATCAACAACTTTTCCGCTTTGTTTGTTTTTCCAGCCCCGGGCGTCCACTCCCGTCGCACGCGTCAAGATGATCAGCCGCGGACTCCTAGTTCTCTGCGCCGCGCTCCTGGCGCACGGACTCGACTCCTCCGCCGGAAACACCCCCGCCGGAAATGCCCTGACCGGAAACGTCCCGCCCGCCGTCCTCGCCTCCGGGAAGAGCTCCGCGGAGGCCGCCTCCGCCAGCCTCAAAGCAACCCCCGTTTCCGGTAAAAGCGCCCCCATCACCGGCGACTCCAGCTCAGTGGAAAGCGTCCCTTACATCAACTACACCCCCGTTTCCGGTAGAAGCGCACCCCTGACCGGCGATTCCAGCTCCGCGGAAAGTGTTTCATCCATCAGTTCTTCGTCCGCTTCCGGTAAAAGTTCAGAAAGCGCGTCGTCCAGTGCTATCAACCCTACGTCCGTTTCCGATAAAAGTGCGTCCGTGACCAGTGCTTCTTCGGAAAGCGCGTCGTCCAGCGGAAGTACCCTGAACCCCACCCCTGTTGCCAGTAAAAGTGTATCTACCAGTGACTCCAGCTCGTCTTCGGAAAGCGCGTCGTCTAGCGGAAGTTCTGCGAACTCCACCCCCGTTTCCGGTAAAGGTGTCGTTTCCGGCAAAGGCTCCTCGGAGAGCGCCGCGCTGACCGGAAGTGCCGACATGTCTTCCGGCTCCTGGGAGACCATCCTCCCTGACGGCAGCAACCCTAGCTCGGTTGTAGCGTTCGCCGGCGAGAGCGCCGACATGGAGCCTGCCGCCTCTTCGAACGCCGAGGCTAAGGCCGAGGCAAAGGCATCCCCCAGCCCGAAGAACAAGTCCAACCCGAAGAGTGAGTACGAGAACATCTCCAAGCCCAAAACCACGACGGCGCCTTCGAAGGATGACAGCGAGGATAGCTCCGACGGGGACGACAGCGATGACACGGAGACGAACGGTCATGGAGAGACCCACCAGGACCAGCAGCTCTCGAAGCCCAACTCGACGGAGAAACCCAAGACCAAACCGGAGTCTTCTTCCATCATGACCGTGACGAAGAGCCCGAAGAACTCGACGAGTTCCTCCGGGAACAAAACCACGATCGCGCCCCCGCAAACCGGAGGTTCCGGGTCCCAGACCCTCCAGTCCGGCGAGGACCAGTCCGGGGCAGATCACGTGACCTGCGGTGCCCTCGCCCTTCTGGCCGTGTGCGTGCACTTTGCACTTTCGTACTGACCGCGAGTTCCGACTGCAGACTGTCTTGTGCCACGTACGCTTCTCTGCCATCCATTCTGTCCTAAGTGATGATTTTTCGTACTAAATTATTGTGAATGTGATCCAATTTTGTTCATTTAAATATGTTTTGGTTTTCTAATATCCTGGTTTTTATTTTTTCGTTCGGGAACTCCTCCAGGTAAGAGGTTTTGTTAATAGGAGGGTGCACTGGAAAAAAAACCCATTGGATCTAGAGTCTAGACTCTTAAAGACATCGACAAGAAAAAATACTCTTGATTCAATCGGATTTTTGCTTAAATCAAGAACCAAGCCTCTTAATTTGAGCGGATTTTCTTTTGATTTAAGCAAAAATCTGATTGAATCAAGAGTATTTTTTCTTGTCAATGTTCTCAAGAGTCTGGACTCTAGATCCAATGTGTTTTTTTTTCCAGTATGGGTGCAATGCTGCCGTGCGAAGGTAAAATGGCATATGAGCATTCAGTCGTTGCCATATTTCCTTCAAGATAAGACGAATTCACTGGTAAAATTCTTAATATTTTTCCTCCAATTTTCCAGATAATTTATTTCGCAATTTCATCTAAGATGTCTGAAAATTTCGAGAAAAAACGTGCGTAACTTTCTTTCAAAATACATGATTTATTCGGGGAAAATCGGCAACTCTCGTATGTTCTTACGGCGTTCTTGCCTAGCACGGCAGAGTGCCTGGTAGCAGAGCCGCGAGGGTCGTTCATAAATAGTTGCATTTTGCAATGTGGAACTATAAATTCTGGCTCTTCTGGAAAAACACTTATGTGCATAGGGAAACTTATGACACATATGTTGTTTGGAAACCGGGCTAGAATTTATTGTTCCAAATTACAAAATGTAGTCCAAATGATCTTAATTATTTGGGAGGGAGGGGAGTTCACATACTACGTTATGAGTGCGTTTATAAATGATGAAGAGGGAAAAATTGCTCATCCAACCCTTTATTAAAGAAGTTTAATTCTGCATATACAGGGTGTTTCAGACCACCCGTACCAGGCCTTTTTCTCGGTTGGTTTAGGTCGTACGAAGTCGGAGACCGCGGGGTTGAATAGGGAATTGACCCCAAGGAATCCGAATTTCGTGGTCCCGAAACCCCCCCACCCCCCCTTGGGGGGTACAGGGGGGGGTCACGATGCTAAAAGTCACGGTTCCCGACCGAATTGCGGATAGATCGCATCAGAATTGAAAAGCACGGAAAATTTCACGTGAAATTGACCCCTAAAAATCCAAAATCGGACCGTCCAAGGCCCAAAAATGACCCCCTAATGAGGGGGACAGTACCCCCTCCATAATTTCTCTTTGGTCTCAAAATTGACGTAAATTCTCCAGAAAAAGACGGTTTCCCAGTTAATCGACCCCGAGAAATCCAAATTTCATGGTCCCGAAGCTCCTCTAGCCCCCCTTGGGGGGTAAACGAGGGGGCCCAATTTTAAAAATCGGGGCTCCTTTCCGAATCGCAAATTGATTGCATCCAAATTGAGGAGCAGAACACTTTTACATCTTAAGTGACTCCTAAGAGTTCTAATAGACCCCCTGAACGGCAGAAAGTAA